AAATACGTTGTATGCAAAAGTAAAAAAGCATGTCTGTTAACAGTATAATTTTTAATAAAGAAATCCTTTAATGTCTGAAAAACGAAAACCAGTGGTGTAACAATGAAGGCAGGACAAGCTGGAGGTGATGGATGTGTTTATGGCACAGACTGTGGTGATGATTTCGTGGCTGTATGCTTATCTCTGACTCATCAAGCTGTATACATTAAATATGTCGTTTTTTGTATGTTATTCCTTCGTCAAAGTAGTTTTTTTTTTAACCAATTGTATTTGGCAGTGAATGCAATTAAACATGTGTAAATATAGTCCTTCACTGCTCTGATTTCTCCCCAAATTTATAGTAATCCTTAGCTTTCACTCTAGCATTCTAGAATCTACTCCAAGAGGCATCATAAAACTTCTAGTTCTGAAAACAATTGTGAATGTTTTAAATTTCATTCATTTTATTGAAAATTCATGGGGGGTGTATTTCAGCTATAACATTTAGGAGAGATTTAGGAAATCAAGTGAACAATGGATAGCAAGATACTGGGCAGAGGTTTGTATACAAGATCTTGATAGCAAGATACAGAGGAAAGTTTGCTCCAAGATCAAAAGCTACTCAAAGTCCTGAAAACCTTTTGTTCTGAAAAATATTGACACCAGTTGTGTTCAAAGACTGCCCTGGAGCAGGCTTTGGGGAGGATCTTCCTCTGGGAATCTGGAACCGGGAGAGGGATGAGAAACAGGCGGGTTAAACTCTCAGGGGGAATTTGAGCTGAGGAACTGGCTGGCCCAACTCCCTAAGCAGGGAGGTTTCCATGGCAGGGCCAAATCACGTATCCTCAGGTTTGGCTCACAAGGTCAATTTTCAAACAAAGCAGAGGACTCAGCTGCCAAGAAAGTCTGCCCCCAGCTCATTAGTCTGACAGCAAATAAGTCTACCAACACCAGTGCACCTGCCCCTGGGCCAAGGTTCACTCCTGACCAACACTGTGGATAATTTCCTACATGTCTTTTTTTCAAAACCTCCCTCATTTTGTCAGAGTCCTTTCAACTTGTTCTTATTCCCCTTCCCCTATCCGATGTCCAAAGACATCTGAGGGTTTGAAGGGGAAAGGCTATGTGATAAATTTCACTTTTAGGATTCTGGAACTCCACAGTTGTGAGGGAAGGCCTTTCTGTTCCCCCAGGCTTCTAAACTGCTTTTGCAAGGGTAATCTAATCTGGGACAAGTAGCTACCACCATCTGGGAGTTTGTTACAAATGCAAGCTCCTGGCTCCCTACTAGGTCAGAATCCACTGCTGGGTCCTACTCCCAGCTGTGTTAGCAAGCCCTCCAGCTGATTCTAATGCTTGCAAAAGTACAAAAAGCACTTGGTTAAATCCTGTTAATATTAGACAATTATGCAGGAAAATAACTTAGCTGTGTTATCAAAGTGCTTTCAAAAACCCCCTAAAACCCAAGTAGTTTAAAGTATTTCTCCCAAAAGGCACAGGATTCCTTTTGTACGGATGGGACATAAGCCCTCCCTGACCCCTGGCAGACCATACTAGTTCAAGGCTCTCCTGGGGCAAGCTTTTCTGTAAACGGCCATATTTTTCTGTAAATACAATCCATATCATTTCTGTCAATACTCAACTCTGCCACTGTGGTTCAACAACAGCCACAGACAATACACAAAGTGGTGGGTATGACTGTGCTCCAATAAAACTTCAATAAACAGAGGCAGCAGGCTGGATTCTGCCGAGGGCCTGAAGTGTGCTAACCCATTCTTGGGTTCTAGCCTGATGCGGGAACCCTGGAGTCATTGCAGACATTCCCCTGGAAAGTCCCAGTTGGGCTGCATCTACAGGCCTGCAAGCCTTTCAGGTGCCAAGTCAGTCCAGAGGGGGAGACCAGAAACAGTGACATAGATATCAATGGTTTTAGATGGGGGAGCTTACACACCTGAAGAAAAGTCCTGGAGCAACAACCCATCACGTGGCAGACAAAAAAGTTGGCGAGCAGGACACAGTGGTGGTGGCGGCGGTCTTCACTGGGGGGGGGGAGACTACCTTTTAAAAGGTGGTTGGAGACTACCTTTTACAGGGGGAATTGACATAACATTGGCTCAGTTACCAGGGAAACCAGCAGCTGAGACCCATCCCTTACAGCCCCTCAGGTTAACAACCATCATGAGGGCAGATGTTTCCCTTTAATAAACTAGCAGGTGGAGCCATTCTGGCCCTAGGATTAGAACACTCACTGGCTGGGGCAAGGGTGAGCACATTTGTTCCAACACAGTGTAGGTGCAGCAGGGACTCATCAAGCAGAGGATGTACAGACAGCAAAAGAGCAGCCATCCCGAGTGACCTGGCCATACACTTCACAACCCTTACCCTCTTAAGTCTGCCCCTCTTATGTGATATTCCTGGGGTCAGGTATGTAGAGGTGCACTGCCACCCAATAAAACAAGTGCAATACAGACAACAGCAGCTGAAAAGTATCAAAAGTGTAAGACATGGGTAAATTTGGAGCCAGGCACTTACTGGGTCCATTTTTCATGGAAGTCCCGAGGAGGACATCTTCCTGTAGACCCAGCAATCAAATTCTTTTCACAAAGAGGCCACTGATACCTCCCAATCTGTGAGCAGCTCCGTCTGCTCAGACTAGTGTGAAACGCAAATGTTTAAAAGGCACGATACAGGGGAGATCGCGACCATTAGCCAAATCTACCCTCATCCCACCCAGCTACCCTCAGTCCCCACAGACTGTGCCAAATACAGGCAAGGTGGTAGAATAGATTGTAAGGTTAATATAATAAATGGTGCCTTCCTCCAGTAAGGGCCTGAGACCTTAGTAGTCTCAGGTGGGGCAGGTCTAAGACAGGTGAAATCTGTCCTTTCTAATCCTATTCCCCACAGGGGACTTACCTGCCAATTCCAGAGCCATTTCTTTTATAATACACTCCCGAGGGCAGAAATTATGGCAAGTGCAAAAGTGAGTTACTGTCCTGACCGGTAGTCGACAATGGTCCCTTTGGGGGTAAACAGTTGAACTCGGATGGTGCTGACTAGTTGCCTCTGGGTTAACATGGCATAAGCACTGGCACAATTGTTCCTGGGATGTTCAGTTACAGTTCCTAGGCTGGAGTTAGCCTCCTGGGCCCATAGGTAGAGATATTTCCTATCTTGGTTGTTGAAGTAATCCACTCATCCTTACAACTAACCTGGCCACAGTGGGGTCATAGGGTGGGTAGAAATGCCAGGGTGTCATTTTCACTGGCCCATATCTGAACTTTATGGCCAGTGGATTCCTTGGCCACTATTATGTCCACAGGGGTGCTGTATGTCATGCACAGCTGTTCTAGATCCTAAATAGTGGTTTTCTGCATTGCTCAACAACTTGAGTAGGCCTTTTATAATGTCTCTCACCTGTTACAATACTTCGTAGACTACATATAATTGCTGTTCAAGCACACTGCATCACTGCACTGTCCCTTCCGTAGCTGGGAGCAGAAGCTCAAGGGTACTGTGATTCTTCTGTCATTGCACAGACCTGAACCAAACTCTTCCAGGTAACTGGTCATGTCCAATTCCAATTCATATCCTAAGTTAATATCCCTAAAGCCTGTAATTGTTTAGGGGTGGTGGGTTAGGGGTATGCTTGTCCTTTGTAGGTAGTTCAGATCCTTGTGTCTATGTTCACCAGCCATCCCCCTGCAGTCAAGTCAGATGAGCCATGGGCACAGGATTGCTCTATAAACTGTTAAGAGACTGAATTTAACAGGGTATCATCAATGCAATAAAAGACAGAAACCATCTTTCATGGGTAATCAACTGCCACAGGGCTCCACATGCTAGTGGACGGCCACCCTGAGATTCCTCCTGACCCCCGACAACTATTCATTCCCCGTCCTTACATCTCAGTGGTCACACGAGTACCCTTAGCCTCCTGGCTGTTTTGTGAATTGTTGGGCTACAAGCCTTGTGGATGTCCAGCCTTGGGACCAGAAAGAGCCCAGAGACAGCAACAAAGACATTAACAGCTTATTGGACACAGGGATCTTACATGGCCGAAGCAATGTCCCAGAGCCACACCTCCACCGTGTGTGGCGGATAGCGGGCGTAACCTGGCGGCAGTCCTCACTTACCCGGCAGGGAGGAGGCTACCATTTATTCAAGAATTGACGTCAGGTTGCCTCATCAGTTACCAGGGAAACCAGACGCTGAGACCGGTCCCTTACAGCCCCTCGCAGCCAGAATACTAGTCACACTTTCCTTTTTCCTCAGATATATTAGCCAGTGTTCACTTTTAAGACTTTGAGAGTTACAAGGCTTATGTGTTAAGATTTTACCAAAACTTTCACGTTTCAACCAAAAAGGCATATATTTTAATTCAAAAGCTGTTTCATCATTATGCTAAAAAAAATTTTTTTTTAACAGACATTTTTTAAAAAGACACATCTAGGGACTTCCCTAGTGGTCCAGTGGTTAAGATTCCACACTTCCAATGCAGGGGGTGAGAGTTCAATCCCTGGGTGGGGAACTAAGATCCCACACATCATGAAACCACCAAAAAAAAAACCACCACCACCAAAAAAACCCTCTATGCCTGTAGTGATAGTTGCACAACACTGTAAATACATCAAAAGTCACTGAACTGTGCAAGTAAAGCTAGTGAATTGTATGGTATGTTAACTATAACTCAATAAAAATTTTAAAAAAAAGACACATCTAGTTAGAATAAGCAGTGTTAACAAGACTATGATTTTACCTTAGCATTTTATATTGAATCTAACATGTTGCATCTTTTCCAAATACATTTCTTGCCTAACAGAAATGGAGGTGTATTCCCATCAAAAGAAGAGATTCTTGTAATTCTGTTGTCCCCAAGTTAATTTTGTCTGAGATGTCATCCTTGCCCAGTTCACTTATTAGTACCAATAATCCCCATCTTTGATTTTACCTAAAACAACAAAGAACTTTCAAAAACATGAAATCTGATTTCAATCAGTGCATCCATAGTTCTTAGCCTCTCATTGGGAAGCTTCCAGATGTCCTTGAATAAGATCCTGAACACGCGACAAAATAATCTCATTAGAACTGTTGCAATTTTCTGGACCATACGGTGGGTCTATGGTCAAGACCCCAGCCACACAAAGAGTCTTTCGTGAATCTCTTTGTTCAGTGATGGGGATGTGATTCTTCTCCAGCCATTTCTTCAGGCTGTTCTTCCTCTTTTCCAGATCCTCAGGGCTGTATGCTTTGCAGTCTCCAGACATGAACAGATGCATCAGCTTCTCTCTCACACTATGGTCCCCTTCATTCACAATTTCAACAGTCTGTACAGCATGTCCCATAATTCCAGTCACAGACATGCTGCCATCTTCAAGGAAGTTCACGAGGACAATACTTTGAAGAAAAAGTAAGTTCAGAGCATAGTTGTAAAAGAAAAACCTAAAGGCCCATAAAACTAGGGAAGTAATGAAATGAAGGCATCAACCCCATCAGGTCACTAGAACAATAGGGAATGTTCTCTGTTTTAAATTAATATTCTCACCACCAAATGTTTTCACTTATTCCATCTGAATTCTCTGAGGGTCCTAAACATCTAAACCTTTTGTCCAGCTAATCATTGTGGGATGTAGTTAAAGCATTACTTTACAAGTTATGAATGTTTTAATATGTATTAGGAAAGAAGAGAGGGTACAGATTTAACTTTTAAAGTTAGGAAACAACTGAATAACTCCCCTTCAGAGCAGACCAAAGAAAATAACACAGCACAAAATTAATGAAACAGAAAACAAAAGAGTCAAGTCAGTAAGAGGATCATCAAAGCCAAAAGCTGGTTCCTTGAAAAGTGTATATAAATTTCAGAAAACTCAGGCAAGATTAATAAAAAGAGAAAGAAGGCACACATAAATAGTATTAGGAATAAGGTAGCAAAAATTAATAGTATAAAATATTAAAAACGTTTAAACCAGTAATTTTGACACTTAGAAAACTTCCTAGAAAATATGAATTTCTACTACTGACTCAAAAAGAGAAAAGGGAACCCTCTTACACTGTTGGTGGGAATGCAAATTAGTACAGCCACTATGGAAAACAGTGTGGAGATTTCTTAAAAAGCTGGAAATAGAACTGCCATATGACCTAGCAATCCCACTCCTGGGCATACACACCGAGGAAACCAGATCTGAAAGAGACACGTGCACCCCAATGTTCATCGCAGCACTGTTTATAATAGCCAGGACATGGAAGCAACCTAGATGCCCATCAGCAGACGAATGGATGAGGAAGCTGTGGTACATATACACCATGGAATATTACTCAGCCATTAAAAAGAATTCATTTGAATCAGTTCTAATGAGATGGATGAAACTGGAGCCCATTATACAGAGCGAAGTAAGCCAGAAAGATAAAGACCATTACAGTATACTAACACATATATATGGAATTTAGAAAGATGGTAACGATAACCCTATGTGCAAAACAGAAAAAGAGACTCAGATGTATAGAACAGACTTGTGGAATCTGGGAGAAGGCGAGGGTGGGATGTTTCAAGAGAACAGCATCCAAACACGTATATTATCTAGGGTGAAACAGTTCACCAGTCCAGGTTGGGTGCATGAGACAAGTGCTCGGGCCTGGTGCACTGGGAAGACCCAGAGGGATTGGGTGGAGAGGGAGGTGGGAGGGGGGACCGGGATGGGGAATACATGTAAATCTATGGCTAATTCATTTCAATGTATGACAAAAACCACTGCAATGTTGTAAAGTAATTAGCCTCCAACTAATAAAAATAAATGGAAAAAAAAAAAACTGAAATAACCAGTTTAAAATCTTCCCATGATGGGGGTGGGGGTTGGGGGGTGGAGCTGGCAGGGGTTGAGAGGGGGAAAGGCCCAATTTTACCACAAAATTCTATAAAATTTTCAAGAATCAAACATTTCCAATCCAACCAACCCAATTCTCCTAAGGACTATAAAAGGGAGATTATGCCATAACTCATTTAATGAGGCTAATATAACCTTGATACCAAAAGCAGAGGACAGGATTAAAAAATAAAATTATAAGCTAATCTCACTTATGAATACAAATGCAAAAATCCTAACTAAAATATAATATATATGATATGATATGATGCAATGTGACATGACAGAATTTCATTTCTGTGGTACTGTCCCCAAAAACCTATAATCCCAGTCAATGAGAAAACATCATACAGACCCAAATTGAGAGATATTCTATTAAATACCTCACCAAAACTCTTCAAAAGTGTCAGGATGATGAAAAACAATTTAAAAAGGACTGAGAAACTGTCACATGTCAAAGGAGACTAAGGAGACACGGTGATTAAATGTAGTGTGGGACCTTAGATTGAATTCTAGAACAGAAAATCCTTGGCTTGGAATCCACAAAAAGGCCATCAGTGGAAAAACTGATAAAATCCAAATGACTGTAGTTTACTTAGTGAAAATTTTTAGTTCTGACAAGTGTTTGACAGTTGTGTAAACTGTTAGTATTAGGGGAGTTAAATACACAGGTTCTCTCTGTACTTTCCTTGCAATTTTTCTGTAAATCTAAAATCACTCCAAAATAAAGTGTGAGTGTATCATTACTTTAAAGTAAACTTGCAAAAAATAATTCTGATCCTAATCAAACCTCTAGATATGAATACCAGTTTATAAGAAATACAAACGATAAAAGAACATGTTAAACTACACCATGATAATGCAATGAGCTAAATTCAGAGTGTGTTCAATTCGAAGACAAACGACTCCATTTCTTCAAGAAAAAATAACATGGAAAAACATAAAGCAAGTACCAAGTTACAGATTAAGATTCGTAAGAGACATATCAAAAAGTTGATAGGACAACATTAAAAATATACTTTGGAAACAATCAGGAAAACCTGAACTCAAACTAGGAATTAGCTAATATTAAAGTTACTATTACTTTTGTTAGGTGGTTATAATGGTACATGGTTACATTTATGAAAGAGTCCTAATCTGCTAAGAGATCTATTTAAGGATTTATGAACAAAAGTTAGTAACAGGCTTTAAAATATTTGGAAGGCAGAATAAGATTAGTGTTTATTATATTACTCTCTTCACAATTCTGTATATTTGAAATTCTCCAATAAAATGTAATTAAAAGGAGTGTCCCATTTCTACAAACTGGGCTGGTCTGACAGAAATCTATAGTTTGACAGTATTTAGGCTCAAAGGAAATTAAGTACTTATATGAGAATAATCAGCTTTTCATTTATTTATCTGCTTTCTTAGTATGGATAGGGCTTCCCTGGTGGCTCAGACAGTAAAGCGTCTGCCTGCAATGTGGGAGACCTGGGTTCAGTCCCTGGGTCGGGAAGACCCCCTGGAGAAAAAAATGGCAACCCGCTCCAGTACTCTTGCCTGGAGAATTCCATGGACTGAGGAGCCTGGTGGGCTACAGTCCATGGGGTTGCAAAGAGTCAGACATAACTGAGTGACTTCACTTTTCTTTTTTTCTCTTTTCTTTAGTATGGATATAACATATAGGCAGTGCAAAGGGGTGATTTCAGGGAAGCAGGACTGGTACTCACTTGGCAGAGACTGGGTCTGTGGTTAAAACCCATCCTTTGTACTCCTTGTCACTGGCTGTTACGCTGACCGCTTTGTAAGTGTAATCTTGCCATTCTAAGGGGCTTTTCTTCATCCATTCATTCATGGCTGCCAGCTGGCTAGATCTAAAACAACCACCAGTTAGTATTAATACCTATGTTCCCCCGAGGAAATGTCTTACCCCTAATCTCCATTCTAGAGGTAGAGAATACCAGCGATTTGCATCACGTTCCATATCAGAAAAAGTTAAATTTTACTATTCAGTCTGAAAGCCACGGGACCACGAGTTGCCGCGGGGACGCGTCTGGAGTAATTCATCTGGCACACTTGTATCTCAGCTCCCAATCTCAATTCCAGACCGCCTTGACGTTGGCTTCGACCTCGAGTCCGCAGATGCTCCAACCCTTTAACTCAGCTCTCCTTCCATCAAAGGAGCTCACTCCACACCACTATTAACCAAAACTGAAAAAAGAAAACTCCTCTGTGATCCACCCAGTCCCTCTCGGTCCCTCTAGGTTTTCGCTAGATCCGGAGAGGCCCCCGGATATGTGACAATTTCATCTTAAAACTCGTTCAGACATGCGTAAACGAAGCGGCAGCAGCCGAGGCCCGCAGCCGCATGATACTCAGAACTGTACTCAAACCAGGTAATACTTAACGTGTAATCCTAAAAATGAGAAAAATACCAATTAAAGCTCCTAGCAGCGCTCGGTTCTCTTCTCCACGTTGAGAGGAAGGAATCGCTAGAGCTGAACCCGCCCGAGCCCAGCGTGCTTTGCTCCATGTCGTCACTTCCTTCCCCCAGAATTCTCTGTTTTGTAGTCCGTGGCTTTGTCACACCTCGAAGTCTGAGAGTCCGGAGACCTGGGATGATAAAAGCAGGGTGCAGGGTGTGGGCAGACTTTTTCTGTAATAATAATAAGCTTCTTTGTTCACTAGGGTCCCCCCATTAACTGCCATTACTGATGGACATTTTAAAATAAAAATTTTAAGAAGACTTGTGTCACCTCCTCCTCTGTAATAAAAATGGAATTCCAATTTTGCCATGAATCAATCCTTCGTGTAAATCCTAAAACTCTAGAAGTGTGAGGTGACATTGCCTTGGGGAAGAGAAACAGAACCAGTGTATTTCTTGTTTGCCCTGTGGTAAGGCAGTTAAGGCAGTTAAGATGCCTAATCTTGAGATGTGTCTTTGCTACAGTCCTGATGCCAAAGCCTTTGACTGTGTGGATCACAATAAACTGTGGAAAATTCTGAAAGAGATGGGAATACCAAACCACCTGACCTGCCTCTTGAGAAACCTGTATGCAGGTCAGGAAGCAACAGTTAGAACTGGACATGGAACAACAGACTAGTTCCAAATAGGAAAAGGAGTAGGTCAAGGCTGTATATTGTCACCCTGCTTATTTAACTTATCTGCAGAGTACATCATGAGAAACCCTGGGCTGGATGAAGCACAAGCTGGAATCAAGATTGCTGGGAGAAATATCAATAACCTCAAATATGCAGATGACACCACCCTTATGGCAGAGAGTGAAGAACTAAAGAGCCTCTTGATGAAAGTGAAAGAGGAGAGTGAAAAAGTTGGCTTAAAGCTCAACATTCAGAAAACTAAGATCATGGCATCTGGTCCCATCACTTCATGGGAATAGATAACAGTGACTGACTGTATTTTTTTGGGCTTCAAAATCACTGCAGATGGTAACTGAAGCCATGAAATTAAAAGACGTTTACTCCTTGGAAGGAAAGTTACGACGAACCTAGAGAGCATATTAAAAAGCAGAGACATTACTTTGCCAACGAAGGTCCATCTAGTCAATGCAATGGTTTTTCCAGTAGTCATGTATGGATGTGAGAGTCGGACTGTGAAGAAAGCTGAGCACCAACGAATTGATGCTTTAACTGTGGTGTTGGAGAAGACTCTTGACAGTCCCTGGGACTACAAGGAGATCCAAACAGTCCATCCTAAAGGAGATCAGTCCTGGGTGTTCATTGGAGGGACTGATGTTGAAGCTGAAACTCCAATATTTTGGCCACCTGACGCAAAGAGCTGACTCATTTGAAAAGACCCTGATGCTCGGAAAGATTGAGGGCAGGAGGAGAAGGGGACAACAGAGGATGAGATGGTTGGATGGCATCACCGACGCAATGGACATGGGTTTGGGTGGACTCTGGGAGTTGGTAATGGACAGGGAGGCCTGGTGTGCTGTGGCTCATGGGGTTGCAAAGAGTCAGACACGACTGAGTGACTGAACTGAACTGAGGGGGTACAGAAGCTGGAAAGAAAAGCCCTGGATAGGGCTGAACTAATGCCCACATGTTAAAGTGCAAGGGACTTGCTTCCATCACAAATCTGTGGTCATGTATTTAGTTGGCTTCTGGCATGGTCCAGAATTTTTCCAGACTATGATCCTGAAAAATGCTGCAAGGTGGTAAATCTGGAGTTCCTGCAAATCTGCAAATGCAGATTTTAAAAAACTGAGTTAGAGGACTGTCAAACAATACAGGAAACACCAACAGTTAACCAGTTTTTCCCTCACAACTTGGGATTTGAGTTCCATATAATCCTTGAAGTGTATTGTTTCCAATGTCATCATTTCAAATAATCCTTACCCAAACCTTCACTCACTGAATGATTGGCTTATGATATTAAGGTGGCTTTTGTAGATAAGATTTTGCCATCTAATCTACAAAATCTAATCTAACCTCTAAGTCCTCTATAAATCTACAAAGAACTAATATAAATAGCAATTATTATTGTAACGTGAAGGAAAATATTTGAATTCATAAAAACCCAGCCCCAAAGAGATATTTGTGACAATGCATCATTTGCATTTTAAGCCTACTATCTATATTGCAGAATGAAAGACTTTGGCCTCTGTTTTATATACATAAAATTCTACAGGTAGTTGCTAGCCTCAAGCTTACCCCTCAAGTTATCCCCTTTAAAGCCATGAGTGAAACAGGGCCACTTCCCTCCCTTCTCTGCCCTCTCCCTTTAGTCTCCTAACTAAAGGCTCATTACCAGATTTGCTGATACAAATCACTGACTTCTAGCAAAGTGAACCCAGCCCATTACCTACACAAGTTCTCAGACAGGCCCTCTCCTGTATCTTGTCCTCACTGAGTTCAGAGGGTGTGGCCTTTCCTTTCCCTGGTCAACTCTTACCCTTGTTCCCCCTGGAGCCTCTCATCCCCAGTTGATATCCCTTCTCTCACATTCTCTGCTCGTTTGGCTGTGCCACATGGCACATGGGACCTTACTTCCTTGGCCAGGGATTAAACCCATGCCCTCTGCACTGGAAACTTGGCAGTCTTAACCACTGGACCACCAGGGAGGTCCCTAAATTTTGTCTTTTAATTTGAAAGCCTTCAGATAGGTTTTCTCTCTTCTTTACTAGTTTCCACCACTTTTACTATTTTACACACTTGGCTGATTCATATCTTTAACATTTCTTGCCTGATTCCTATAGGAAGTTTGAGTTTTTGACTCTGGAATAGTCCCTAATGATAAATGAATAAATTAGCAGAGTACATTATACCTTAATCTCTTGCGAGTTTGGTGAGGATCAGTCTCAATGTGTCTAGTCAACTGTTGGGCCAGTTAAAGGCCAGAACCAGGACGGTGGGTAGCAATGTCAAGGAAATGCCAGTTGCAGGGTTTCTAGTTGGATCTCCATACAGACTTCTCCAGGTGATTTCAAGAGCTCATTGTCACCGTGCCCCCTTTTCAACTGTGCCCTCTGATACCATTTTATAGCTTGTTGTTATTGACATTTATATTTTGGCAGTTACTGTAGGTTGGTTCATTTAACAAACCTTTCCCACAACCTCGTAATGAGGCTTGAAAGCTAAAAATCTTCAGCTTCCCATGATGGTAAAAGTGACCACAGGAATACTTCTGGCCAGTGAGACATACACGGAAGTACCTAAGAAATCTGTCCCTTTCAAAATAAAACAGAAAATTCTCCTAAGGAGGAGAAAACCTTTTTGATCCTTTAATCATTTCTCCTCCAGCCTGCCTGGATGTGCAGTAGCCACTTTGCACCGAGGAGATAAACATAAGAGCTACATGCCACACAGAAAGATAAAAGAAAGAAAAAGATCCACAACAAACCTGAACTACTTATCTTTCTATTTATTTTATTTGGGACAAATAAACTTCTGTTTAAACAACTGTTTCAAGTGTTTCCACCCCAACAAAATCCTTATCTAGTTTATCTCCCTAATAAAATCCCCAGGAGAGAGAGCCTGTTTTATCTTTATATTCTCAGTACCTTGTTCAATGCCTGCATATAACAGGCACTCAGCATAGATTCGTTTAGCCAATTAATAAATTTGCTGTTCTTTGGGGAAATCTGGGGAAAAAACATAAAACCATAATTTAAGCAAAGAGTTACTTACTTCATAATGGACCAAGATAAACTAAGAACAGAAAAAGCAAATTGACAGGTCAAATTTTAAATTGGCAAAGCAGGTAACAAAGGGACCTTTGCTTTTTTCAAGAAAGTAATTTAAACCTGCTTCACTGAAGACTACAGTGTATTAATAAAAATGCTATTAACTCAATCTTAATGAGCATATAAACCATTATCCTTATTTTACAGCTAACGAAAAACTGAGGCACAAAAGCCCAAGGCCACACAGCTAGTTAGTGACAGAGGCAGGATACAAACCTGGGCAGTCAGGTCAAAGCCTTCCTCTTAACCACTGCATCATACTAATTAAATAACAGGGAATAACTCAAGTATAATTTTTCACCTAAAAGTCTATTTTTAGTTAGTGAGGAACATGCTTTTCAAAGTAAGTATTCTAAAACACCAGTTTCCCATTGTGCTCCAGTTGGCTGTCTGGACACCCAAAGTACTAAGTTAATGTGTTTAATCCACGTGTTCTAGCAAACAAAACTCTCCCAGAAAATTCTGTCTCCAAGGGTAACTGCAAGAAGGATATACTCAGTCAAATATAATATTTTGGAAGTTAGGATTTTATCCTTGAAGCAGGCAAAACCATAAGAAGCCCCATTCCTACAGCTGCTGTTTACTCTTAGTGTAGCTCATGAACAGTGGCAGCATCGTAGATGCAAGTGGCTTAATGATGTGGAAA